TAATCGTGAGGTAAAAAGGTAGCTCTAACAAGCCTTTAGAATCTTATGATGAAGGAAAGTTTTCTTTTTTTCCCTATGAAAAGCTAAACCATGTGATGATTTACCAACACCGCAAAATGGAGCGAAAGCCTGTGACCAGTGGCTAAACAGCGGGAAGATTTGCACACTACACTGCAATGTGGGATATGACTTTGCCAACCAACCACCAACGTTCTATGCATGCGTTGCTGGAGGGAAATGGCTTCCGGGTGACGCAGTGCCAGACTGCTCAAGTAAGACCAAATATCGAAATAAGACTGTTTGCTAGGGTATTTTCATGGTATCTGTAGAAATATGATCCATTAAACAAGGAAGATCGTTAAAATCTTTTTCAGGCCACGCTGTAAGAGAACCTGAGTGCGTTATCTAAAGGCCCATTAAAGGGTGAAGTTTGCTAATAGTCAGCTAGTGCATCATCCCGTTAGAAGGTTGATAGAAGCAATCTATTTCATAGATGATGCGATGTAGGTTCTAAAAATGAAAATAAATAAATAATAATAATAAATAAATAAATAAATAACAGAGCAATCTAGATTGAACGTTTAATTATATTCGAGCAGCTAGGACAGAATGGCATAGGGAGGTAAACTGGGTAAAAAGCTTTCAGTCTATCGATGTCTTTTCACGAATGAACCATCAAAATCCTAATTGCCCCGAAAAATGATAATTTGTCAGATAACCTCATGCAAAACTCTGACATGAATTTTCTCATAACCAACAAAAACAAAGCTAAAAGTTGCCTTGCAGATAATCATCTTTGTTAATGATTGCTCAGATCTTGACACTCTTGAATGTTTCTCTTCAGTGGCATATCCAATATATATTCACATTTTGGACTATATGAACGAGCTTTCCAAGCCATGTTTTTCAGCTGTAAGTTAATATTAGTTTGTCTGCTTATCAGGTATTAACCAAATATTTATCTTTGATTTATCTGTCTAGAAACACGCCAAGCAAAGACTTTGCTTGCTTCAGAGCTTCATTATTTAGCTGACCAGTGCACAGAAGGAATGCATACCAGGATCGCCAGAAACTTCATCGCGCTCTATACACTGTACTTGGGAACTATCGGAGGTTGTGATGGGGATGTAGAATGCACGATTGAAAACGTCGAAGTAGAATGCGGAGAACATAGTGGAACTCTTCGCAGAAGGGACATAGCCGATAGCGAACAGGCTTCTAAAGTTCCTCTTACTGTGAGATTCGCTGTAAAAGTCCCACTGCCAAGCAATGCCTCCGTGGATGATCTAAACCAAACAACTCAACAGATATCAAGTGACATCTTAGCGTCCCTGAACGAAACAGACTTAACTCTGAACGTTAGTGGAGTTGTTTTGGAATATGACGAAACAAGACCCCCGGTAGTACGCATAGTTGGTCTTGTTTGTGACAAAGGGCAAGTTCTTAAAGGGACAAAATGTGGTAAGACCTGAATATAAGCAAGCATAACACTTGACTGTTTTCATTTGAACATGTTATGATATACTGTTCTTGATCAAGAGACGAACAAAA